TATCTGTGCTGCCGTTGAACAGACGCAAGAATTAATTCTTCTTGAAATGATTGTAAAAAGATGATGAACTATGACATGTAATGCTGAATGTTGTCTTTGACAGAACTACAAGCGTCCTGTAGATGGGGGGTACGGTCCTCCAGCCAAGCGCCATGAGGGGGAAATGTACAACGTGCCCTACACTGGTCAGCAGCAGCCAGGACCCCAGTCCTCTGGGCCCCAAGGCCAACAAGACATGTATAACCAGTATAATGCATACCCTGGAGGGGACCGCAGACCACCAGGCCCACAGAACCAGTTTCCCTTCCCTTTTGGCCGGGACAGAGGACCGTCATCTGCAGGCCCCAACTCCCAGTCTCCAATGGCTCCCCAGATGATGGCAAGCCCCATGCCATCAGGTCCTGACGGCCCCCAGGGTCCTATGTGGCAGGGCCGCAATGAGATGGGCTACACCAACTATCCCAACCGACAGGGACCTCCTGTACCAGGCCAGGGCCCCGGTTATCACGGCATGAACCGCTCAGAGGAGATGATGCCGGCAGACCAACGCATGAACCACGAGGGTCAGTGGCCCGGTCACGTCAACCAACGGCAGCCGCCATTTGGCCCCGGTAGCTCTGGACCTCCCATGACCAGACCCCTGCCATCCACCTACCAGACTTCCCAGAACCACATTCCTCAGGTGTCGAGCCCAGCGCCCATGCCACGGCCCATGGAAAGCAGGACGTCGCCCAGCAAGTCACCCTACATGCATCCGGGCATTAAGGTGCAGAAAGCTGGACCCCCAGTTCCTGCCTCCCACATAGGCCAGGCCCCTGTGCAGCAACCCATGATCAGGCGAGATGTGGCCTTCCCTCCTGGCTCTGTTGAGGCCTCCCAACCCCACCTCAAGCCTCGCAGGCGGCTCACCATGAAAGACATTGGTACAGTATTTATATTTCATGCCTGACTCTGTATTTTCGTGTTGCATGGATCTGTACAGCAGTGACTAGAGTAAAATGTCAGCTGTTTAACTAAAGAAGTCCTGGAACATTATCGACTCAAAAACTGCTTATTAAGAACAATGACAAATAGACTGGAGTCTACAGAGCTGCTTTTGACCATGTCTTTTAATCAATTGCCTCAGTACTAATCACCATCAACTATCTGGTGAATGACCACCTGCCTGTCTGACCTGAATTTGCCATTTGATACCCTTGGCTTGGCTGTGGGAGATTGAATTGAATTGTATATCAGATAAAAGCAGCTTATTTGGAAAAGGTGACATGGGTAATTAGGAATTAAATTAATGCCAGTCCTGATGGTGCAGATCAGTGAACCTCTATCTGTCATTCACAGCTGTAATATCTGATCATGATCCAGTTGGCTCATATTCATTCTGTTTTTGTCTTTTTACAGGCACTCCTGAGGCTTGGAGAGTGATGATGTCACTAAAGTCGGGCTTACTAGCTGAAAGCACCTGGGCCTTGGACACCATTAACATTTTACTGTATGATGACAATAGCATTTCTACTTTTAACTTGTGCCAGGTAAGTTCCACAAACCCACATCTGTAATATGTCCAGTAACACAACAAAATGACGCATCTTATCGCATGGTGTACGAGTTTATAGGATTGTTTTGGTGACTTTCTTCTTCCTCTTTTTCCCAGCTGCCTGGATTCCTGGAGCTGGTGGTGGAGTACTTCAGACGCTGCCTCATCGAGATATTTGGCATCTTAAAGGAGTACGAAGTAGGAGACCAGGGCCAGCGCACCCTCATAGACCCCAATGCTGCTGAGGACTCTGATGATGAAATTCCAATGCCTGAGGGCGAGGGCATGGATGTGGACGAAGAGGACGAAGAGGATGAGGAGGTAGAGGACACAAAGGCCAATCCTGACACCTCCTCACTGGTCCAGGTGAAACAGGAGGAGGATAGCTCACAGAAAGACAAGTCTTCTGAAGACGAGGAAGAGGAGAAGGAAAGGGAGTCTTCTATCAAGGAACCCAATACCTCTACCTCAGGGTCCTCCCAGGACCCCAACCTCCACTCGGAAAAGCCCAAGCAGGCTAGCAAGTTTGATAAACTCCCCATCAAGGTGGTGCGAAAGAAGAATCCCTTCCTGGTGAACCACTCGTCCAAACTTGGGCAGCGGCAGAGCTTTGATAGCGGCCTGATACACTGGAGCATTGGTGGTGGTGACACCACCGAACACATCCAGACCCACTTTGAGAGCCGGATGGCTCTTCTCAAGCAGCGGAAACGCACGCAAGCAGCCACTGAGAGCCGCAAGAAGGTCCAGGTGACTGAGACTGTGACGGAAAACCCTGATAAATCCAAGTCCAACGGGGAGGACAAGCCTCGGCAGCAGCAGCCACCCCAGTCTTCTGAACCTCAGAAGTCTCCAGCGGAGAAGCCCCCTCCTCCTCTTCCCATTGGCGCACCGGTCACTGCCACCATTGATGATGTACTATCTGCCCGCCCTGGGTCGGTCACGGAGGAAGTGGTTCGCGGAGGCGCTGAAGAGCAGAAAGAGAACGGCAAGTACCTGTTCAGCATCAACCCTGACCTCCAGAGCCGTCGCAACATCAAGATCCTGGAGGACGAGCCTCACAGCAAGGACGAGACGCCGCTCAGCACTCTGTCGGACTGGCAGGACTCACTAGCTCGACGCTGCATCTGCATTTCCAACATAGTGCGCAGCCTCTCCTTCATCCCCGGGAACGACCTGGAGATGTCGAAACACCCAGGCCTCCTGCTGCTGTTGGGCCGCCTGGTGCTGCTCCACCACAGGCACCCCGAACGCAAACAGGCCCCAGTCACCTATGAGAAGGAGGACGAGGAAGATGAAGGCGTGAGCTGTGAGAGAGATGAGTGGTGGTGGGACTGCCTCGAGGTGTTAAGAGAGAACTGCCTGGTCACTCTGGCGAACATCTCAGGCCAGCTGGACCTTTCTATATACCCAGAGAGTATATGCCTGCCGCTGCTGGATGGCCTGCTCCACTGGGCTGTCTGCCCCTCAGCAGAGGCCCTGGACCCCTTCCCCACACTGGGGCCCCACGGCTCACTTTCCCCCCAGAGACTGGTCCTCGAGACCCTCAGCAAGCTCAGCATCCAGGACAACAATGTCGACCTCATTCTGGCAACACCACCGTTCAGCCGCTTGGAGAAGCTGTACGGCTCGCTTGTACGCCTGGTCGGTGAACGCAAGGTGGCCGTTTGCCGGGAAATGGCGGTCGTCCTGTTGGCTAACTTGGCGCAGGGTGACAACCTAGCGGCGCGGGCTATTGCTGTGCAGAAAGGCAGTGTGGGTAACCTGCTGGGCTTCCTGGAGGACAGCCTAGCTGCCACACAGTACCAGCAGAGCCAGAGCTCCCTGCTACAAATGCAGGGCGCACCTCAGTTTGAGCCCACGAGTGTGGACATGATGCGGCGGGCGGCCCGGGCCCTACACGCCCTGGCTAAGGTGGAGGAGAACCACTCGGAGTTCACTTTGTACGAGTCGCGGCTACTGGACATCTCAGTGTCCCCACTTATGAACTCTCTGGTGTCCCAAGTGATCTGTGACGTACTGTTTCTGATTGGCCAGTCATGACAGCCGTGGGGAGGTTTCAGCTCTGCCTCTTTCCGTTCCCAGTCACCCCCCTTTTTTTTGTATGTGTGTGTGTCTGTTGCGTGTGAGTGAAAAGAGCAAAACTGACTGTCCTTTTTTTTTTTTTTATTTATGCAAAATCACCTCGGATTCCACTGTCTTTCTACCCCTGCTTCTCACTAAAGGAAGGAATATCATGAAGTAGCTGTGGATTTTAAACGTCTGAAATGGAAAGATACTGACAAAGAAGAGCAGATTGGGACCCAGGCATAGGACAGAGTGCGCTGCCCTGCGGAAAGGACTTGTTTTTTAATGAAAAGAAAAATCTCCAGAAAAAAGAAGAAACTGTAACCAAAGTTGCTGTCTCGTTTACAGTGAGTTTGGGGGATACATGTGCTCGCTTTCTCCCTCGGGGGGGGTCGGCAGGGGGAAGGGGCCACGGACTAAACAATATTATGGTTCATGTTTGGAGGCTTAATAGACTCACGGACTGTGGTGTGGTATAATTGCTGTAACTTTGGATGCTATATACTCAGCCCCACAGGAACCACATTATTGGCTGTGAACAGACATCTGTCATGGGAGGCCTGTGCAGTAGATTGTAGGACTTTTTTCTGTACTGTACACCTTAAAAACTGTAAACATACTGTAATAATACTGTTTCACACTGAGATACGCTGGCTTGGCAGCAAACTGTAGTTTTTAAAAACAGTTTTAGTTAATGTCGAGAGAGAAAACGGCTTTCCCCCCAAAGTATGGTGAACCTACAACACCCCGACCTCTTCTCTTTGTCCCTTGATTGTATGACTTGACCCTTATATTAAAAAGTCACCTCTTTAGGACTGGTCCTCAACTCTAGATGCAGTCCAAGCTGCAGTGTATATATGATGTTGTACATTACACTTCTCTCTCTTTCTCAACTTCTGTTGCTCTTCACCATTTTTAATCTTTGACGATTACAAGTTTCCCCGCATCAAGTACGCCATGTGATTACTTGATGCCCACCCTCTCCGTTACTTAGGCGCCTCACCCTGCTCGTATCGCGCTCCGGGGGAGGGAGGGGGGTGTTTAGCTGCTGTCCAACGCCACCCCCAACAAACACAACTTCAAGTTTCAGTTTGTCTCCGGTCTGGGTGTAGAGAATATAACAAAAATCATGTCTGCGGTTCCATTTGAGCTCCTTCATAAATGACAAACTAGACCTTGATGAAGAAACCATTTTAATTTTGTTTTTTTTGTTTTTTTTTTCCAGTGATGCGGATTCTGCATATTTGTATTTCAGATGATGTAGCTAAAAACTTGATGTAAATTCCTCTTTTTTCCTTTTTTTGGCTTAATGAATATCATTTATTCAGTATGAAATCTTTATACTATATGTTCCACGTGTTAAGAATAAATGTACATTAAATCTTCGTAAGACGTTTGCTGTGGATTTATTTATTATTGCCCTCATACAAGGTTGAGGCAGCTGTTAACTGAGTCCTGAACTTTTCATTTCAGCTCGCACAGAGACCATTCGACGTGTCTGAAGCAGCACACAGTGTGTTCTGATGATGGTGTGTGGAGTATGCTGTTTATCAAATGCACAGCCATGTTTTCCATCCGTGCATTGATTGACATCTCACCCCGATGCTGCACGGCTGTCCTTGTCCCTGCGTCATGCTGATATTTACGTATATATATTTTCATTTCTGGGTGAGGACCTAGCTTGCATTTACTGAGGATGAAAAACATTTTTCCCCAAGAATATTGTTTCTGAATTTAATTTATTATTTAATTTATATTTTCACAGAGCCTGCATTCACTCTGTATAGTTTAGGCTGTGAGACTATACATTCATACACTGATGGCACAGCATCAAGAGCAGTTCTGGGGTCAGTATTGTGCTTAAGGACACTTCAACGTGCAGCGGGAGGAGCCGGGGATTGAGCCGCCAACCTTCTACACCCCACCCCTGAGCCACATGCCTGATAATGCCTACTATTAACACTACCAAAGCACCCTGTAAGACAAAAGGTCCGACATTCTTGGGAGGCACAAAATTACAAGAAAGGTTTAGAAATCTGTGTGTCCATTGTAATCCTCAATGGCGAGACAAAGAAGCATCCACAAAAACAGAACACAGTCAGCATGAGCTAAAAGTGGCACAGACCACATTCTCAAAGTCTGCTGTCGTCTCTTGATGTGGTTTTACTTATATAAGCTTTATTTATTCAGGAAGTCTCACTGAGATCAAGATCTCTTTGCAAAAGAGACATGAAAACAAAGTAATCCAAAGTAAAGTCCTTGCCTCCGTTTCACAACACTGACTTGCTTAAATGCGTTAAGGCACATGGATCTCCTGAAATAAAGTGCACTGGTAAGATTCTCAGAGCCAATTCATGAACTCTGACAGTATTAAAGTTAGAAATGGATGTTTATATGAAACCTTTCATAAAGAGATAGAGCTTACATTGAGAGAAAACAAAGTTGGACAAAAGAGTCTGTATCCACGTAAGCTGCTCTCTGAGGCTGTATATGCATGCTAACATGATGTTCATTGGGTATCATGTTCACCATATGAGTTGTAAGTATGCTAACATTTGCTAATTAGCACTCAACGAAGTACAGCTGAGGCTGATGGGAATGTCGTTAGTTTTGCATTTTTATTAGACAAATTCAGATTTTGACCTTCTGGCGGCACGAGTTAGGGTTTTTACAGAGGAGCCTGAGGGCGACGTTAATGTTTCTACCAAACTTCAGAATGTAGTCCATCCGACCGACGGACATTGCCATCACTAGAGCCACGCTGCCAGCTTGGCCAAGAGGAGGAGAGAAATGTTTTTAAGTGTACATAATAAAACGGTAGTGGAGTAGTAGTAGCAGGATAAGTTGGAGGATTTCAGTGGGAGCTTTGGAGCCTGTGTTCATGAGGCTCTTTGAAGACTGTTGCAGAAGCCGCTTCGTCACAGGGAGTCACGCGTGGGACGGGGGCTGGTTTTCACATCCTTCATGACATTATTGTGTGTCAAACACTAGCTTTAGGTTCAAATATGAGTCCTCTCAATTGTGGTGTTTTCATTGTCAGTCCGATTGCACTCTGTTAGAGGACATTTGGTGGTAATAGCCGTTCTAATCACTCAGTCTGCACTACCGTGACACTATTTGATAAATGAATATAGGGGAAATGATTACTTTGCAACAACCGAGTGAATTATTTCATGATGTAGGTACCCAAACACTGTGGATATCAAGGGAAATTGATAGTTGTTAGAAGAATTATTCTCACTACAGGCACTCAAAAGACAAATCTGTGGACCAGGTTATGAATATTCTTAATCTACACTGTCAGCATGCTGTGAAAGACCATCCAGCCCATCTGCAGCTGCAGCCCAAAATGATTAGTGGACACTACCTGCCACATCTGCCCAGCACTCCACATCCATACTAAGTGGAGATTCTAAGCTACAGGTGCCATTGAAACAACCTCAGCTACACTTTCATTGACAGATGTGATTCTGTGCTTTACGTTTCATTCATACCGACACCTGAAAGCTCGCTGAGGCCTGAAGACATCTGTCACGGATATTTGGAAGAGCCATGACAAACAATCGTGACAGCCAGTAGTAAACACTCACTGCCAAAGATTTCCCACGTCTCTAAAGACATACTTGATCCGTTATAATTGCATCAACAAAGCACCTGACAAATCTCACAGGCCCCCCATCCCCCCCATCCCCCCATCCCCCCATCCCCCCATACCCTTGCAAGTAGATTTGCTTCCCACATTCAGACAGCATTGATTACAGAGCATTTTGGGTAAGAGATTCACTGGAAAGCTGTCAATATCTAAATGCTCAAATATTGATTTCAGTATCAGTCACAGTCAGTGATCGCTAAGATTTGCCTTGATAGGTTCTAAAACCAGTCTTGCATCACAGGACAGCATTTAAAGCAGCAAAGATCCATATGCACCATATAGAATATACTATTAGATCAAAGTTATGGTGATTTTGGAGGCTTTTGTATGTGTATCAACTGAGCACATTGTTATTAACGTTTATTCTTATTACACATTTATAAATTTGGTCTTTAATTTGTAGCCTATATACAGTATGTGTTTCATCTTGTGCTTCAGCTGGCTCCTCTTTCTACTGTGACAGCATGGCGCCCTCATCTGGTCAGAACAGCAAAGTACAGGGTGTGACTGTGGGGTTGTAATATTGTGTGCCCTGTGCTGTGTGATGAGGTGTGATATGATGGCAACAAAAACACTGTTGCTGCCAGCAGAAAGAGGAATGAAAGTGCTTTTGCTCTTTTAAAACCTTTTTCAGCTCAGTGTTCTACTTCACTTACAGTATCTGCAGTAATATGTGTTCATTTCAGTGTCATGTTGCAGCTGTAAATAGACGTATTGTGAGCGAGTGAGCTACGTGTAGCAGAGTGGCAATAGTCAGGGGCGTTTCCAGGATGGTTTGACTGGGTGACACACAAGGATCACTGACTAATGCACGAGTGGCAGGAAGTATGTGTCTCAGCTTTCCAGTCATTCCCAGTTTATGCAGTTCCAATACTGTTTATGGACCCCAGTATGTAGAAATATTCAAATACACTAGAAATAACACATTTATACCACATGCAAAAAACTGCATGGCATTAACATGAATGTGTCTGCAAAGGGGAGACTCCTGGGTACACACAGAACCCATTTTCATTCAGATACCCTGAGGTCGGAGGTCAAGAGATCGCTCTGAAAATGTCCATGTAAGGAATCTACTCTAGTGATTATTATTGCACTTCCAGGAAACTGAGGTACCAGGGGCGGATCTAGAGGGTGTGGCCACCCCAGCTATCCTAGTTTGGGGTCAAATGTTGGCAAATGTAACATATATATTTAGATTCATTTTGAAAAGGATGTCTTAAAAATTTAAATTAATTTAATGGTCTTTTATGGCCTAATGTAGGACATATTGATATTTGGAAAAAATTATTAAAACAATGCCACCTTTAGATATTTCTATTCAGTGTATATGTTCATGTAATATCTTCACATTTATAAATGTGAGTGTGAGTGTGACCCTCTGGTCACCCCGTGAGTATTTCTCTAGATCCACCCCTGTGAGTTACTGTGAGTGTAATAGAGCTGTAAAATAAAATAAGCTAGTGAAATATTTATATATATTAACAATATTAACAATAGAGAGCATAATCATAAACAGTGTTAGTGTCAAATATAATTGGTGTATTGGCAAACTAGAATAAAAGACCATTTCTGAATTTTAAATATCACAAAATAGAGCATCAGGCCAAACTAAATTATGCAAAAACAAAACAATTGCTGTTTGCAGATCCCTCAGATAACACTTGTATATATTGTATAATAAGGATACAAAACATTAAGTCATTTTCGACTCATGCAGGGTTTGCTACTGCTCACCATGAACAAATGAATTGAGGGGACATCACAATGTACAGTAAGTAATGGTCACCTGATAAAGTAATGAGTGTACTGGGTGCCTCTGTTTGTTAGATGTTTTTGGTTTAAGTGCACCATTCTCCTCCATCCATTTCTTTCAACAACAACAACAACAAATAAAATAAAAAAAGAAAGGCGATGAGCACTTTGATCAAAGGAAATGCTTCATATCTGTAGAGCAGGTACTGCTCAGGCTCAGATGCAAGGAGGCTCTCTTTCAATGGCACCCAGCAGATTTGGTGGCATATCAATGAATGTATAAAGAAACTTTAAATTTGCTTTAATTAATTGATCTAAAAAAAAAAAAAAGGTTAATCTGTCGGGATGTGTTTCTGTCCGTCACACTGCGCATGCTTACTGCCTCAGTAGGCCTGTACCGCTGACTGCAGGTCTACTGATTATTTTGTGTTGACAAAATACAAAAAATATTGCACAATATTGCCAAAATATTGGACTACAGCTTGAAGCACTCCAACTCTCTGACTGACTGACAAACTGACCGCGGCGGCCCTGAACGCATCAGCTGCTGCAAGAGATTATTTCAGATCTACTGTGCAGAAGTTGGTACCTTGTTATGATCTTGTTTTACAATTATCAGGCGCCACAAACATAAAGTTGTTGTGAGCACATGTACATATATTGTTTGCACAAGATAATAACGTGTAGAGGAGTTATGATAGGCACAATATGAAATATCATCTTTCGGGTTGCATGAAGGAATCAACTGCAGATATAAAAACGAGACAATTAATATCATCCATGTGCCTGCTTATTAAAATCTTTCTCTCTCACGTACAGGTACATGCGCGTGCGTCAGTAAAAGCCATGGAAACAGAACGGTGACGCCACAGAGGTCATTTAAGCCCTGCTGACCTTTCAGCTTTCTCACTTTGCATTTGAACTTGACCCGAGTTGACCTGCAAAACTCTTTGGAGAGCCGAAGCATCTGGAAGCATCTGGAAAACGGACCTTGTTGGAGAACTGAACTGAACTGAAGAAAAGAAAAGCAAACTAGAGCAGAAATGTCTTTTAACAGACCAACAGAGGAACACCTGCCGGGACCTGGAGGGCAGCCTGCCCCCGACAGTCTCCATGCAGGTAACACTAATAACGTTATATTCATGAATGAACCTCAATAACAACTTTGAAAGCTTCCTCGGTACAGAAATTAACATAACGTGTTGAACTTAAAGGTGGAAAAGAAGCTGAATATTTGATGGCCTGTTTGGAAAACACAGGTTGGGTGATACTGGACGTTTTCTCGGTATAAACTTGTTATTAGTTGGGTTTATTGTATTAAAAGTAGCGGGAAATGTGTGGAATATATGAACAATGGTGTAGTGGTTTGAACACACTGTTATTTTGCTTTGAGGGCATCAATTTTGTCGAAATTGGCCTCGAAATTGTTAGAAACAAGATGGCGACTGGACCTTTTTTCATAAAATGCGTTAAAATCAGGATTTTTGGTAACCATGGAGACGATGGAACTATTGTAAAGTGAACTAACGTTACAGTGTCTGACTGTTGGTGACTGTTGTTGACAGTTTTTATCATCGCTTTAATTGGCATTAAGGACTTTCACGTGAAATGTTGTTATATTAATATGAGTGAAACGTATTAATTGTGTAAACAGAGTTAGCTACTTTAGTGGTTAATCACGCGGCTGTGCGCGTGCTGCGTCCAGGATGCAATGCGAATAATAAGCGACTATAGTGTTGACAGAAGCGCAGACATTTGTGTGGTTATTCTGGAGAAGCCCTCTTGTTGACTGAGCATGACCTAGTCGAGGTACCCAAGGTCCAGCGTGCGTAATTACGCATGCAGTTTTGCGCACATTTGACTATATCAATACTTTATACCGCTTATCACTTACTGCATGTGAATGTAGCTAAACCTGACTGAACAAAGTTTTATTCTATTATTCTGTCCATTTCAGTCATCTTATACATTACCATTATATGATATCAGTCTATTTACATACTTGTTGTACCTGTATTTAATAACACTGATGCATTTGTGTGATTCATGTGTCACTATGCGTATGTTACACTGTACATTTACAGATATACCCATATAGTTGCTGTGCTGTGTGTTTGATCTGTGTATGGGAAGACTTTGTTTGAGGGGAAGGGGGTGATCTTTTGTGCTTTTATTGCAAATGTGAACAAAGTACAATCTTCTTCGGTAATTTGAATACTGAGAAAGCATGTAGTGGATATAGTGAATTCAAACTTGCAGCTTATCTGAAAAGTACAAAAACATCATCTACATATCTGCCATACAGTTGATAAGTTGAGAAATGTTTTTTTTTTTCGGCTCCAAATGGTTCGCAGAGACTTTTGTGTAATCCTTCTGTCTTTGTCACATGTTTCAAAATCAAAATTTGGTCCAATACTCTTCCTCGTAATGCCTCTGTTTGCTCCTCGACAATGATTGTACAGTTTTTATGGACGTGTCTTGTTCAGTAGGTGTGTGATATCGTCTCGTATTACCCTTTAATAAATCTGATTTGTCTTGTTCACTGTTCAGCCTCAGAGAGGGACTGGGCTAGGCGACTTGTTGCGCGGAACCAAATCTATATTTTTAAGAGGTAAGATGACGTAGGAATGTCTGAAAGTCAGCATGTTCTCACAAAGTCGTGGCGGTGCATGCTCCGTGTCCCCTACCTGCGCTCTCCTCTGCGATCATGTGTCAGAATGTGTGTTGGGATCTGAATAAAGATCAAAAAAAGAGCTCTCTCGTGTGTGTGTGTGTGTGTGTGTGTGTGTGTGTGTGTGTGTGTGTGTGTGTGAGCTGTTTGATGATCTAAGTGATGTGGTCTTGCATGAACACTGATCTGTCTGAATGAGAAGCTTCCTGCTTATTCTCTGTTCTCTTCTCCCCATTTTGAAGGGGATGGGGCTGTGTTAGAAAAAGCTAATGTCTGATATTTAACTGCATTACAATCAAAGTAATCAGTTGTTTGGTTGTTGAAGCTGAAGATATGTCACACACGAAGCAGAATTTAATTGTTATTTAATCCACGCTTCAAAATATTTGTAACTTCAGAACTGAATCTATTTTTCTAAGTTAAACTTTGATTATTGATTATTTAGTCTTGTGCTTTAACTTTTTCCCTCAGGTGTCTACTACATTGTAGAGCGTCCTGCAGCTGAAGGAATCCCTGAAGTGATCAGGATCATCGATGACAACGGTAACACTGTCCCCATCTACATCTTCTCTGACGATGAGGATGTGGAGATTGTTGTTATCTCTGAAGATGATGATGAAGAATATAAGAACATTCCCCCTCGCTCCTCTGATGATGAGAGTGACGGAGAGGACGATGACTTGTCTTCCTCCTCAACCAGCGAGGATTCTGATGACACCTTGTCATTTGTGGAAGAAGATGATGACGACAGGGAGCATGGTGTAGAGGGTGATGATGAGGATGAAAGTGATGATGACATCATCAGACCGCTTGGCTTTGAGGATCGACCATTGCCTTCATCAGAGTCCTGGAACTGCCTCCTTGACACAGACAGCTCTGAAGAACCCACTTCATCAGCCTGTGGCTTCAACTCTTCAAGGAAGAGGAGCAGGGAGGACAGTGACGAGGAGGGGCGTCCTGCTCAGGGTCCGAGTAGGACTTGTTAGGAAAGCCTCAGAGAGGAGGAAAGCCCCTAAGAGCTGACTGCATCCACTTGTAGCCTCAGATCCTCCAGAAAGAGCAGCAGGGAGAGACACTGGGAGGGGATTGCTAAGAGGCCAAAGCTGTGTGAGGACAGTGACTCAGATTGTCAGGCCTGTGTGCAGCAGGACTCACAACCCTAACACTTGAACCTGCTGAAGCCCCACAGAGTCGGTGTCTAGCACCTTAACATATTCAATAAAATCGAATTTAGTGAAAGACAATGATTTTAATGATAATAATTTTATATAATACAACAATCTAATCTGATTTAATTTACTTTAATGGAATGTAAAGTAATATAGGTATAATATAATGTAATGTAATGTAAAGTAATACAGGTATAATATAATGTAATGTAAAGTAATACAGGTATAATATAATATAAAGTAATATAGGTATAATATAATATAATGTTAAGTAATATAGGTATAATGTAATGTAAAGTAATAAAGGTATAATGTAATGTAAAGTAATACAGGTATAATATAATATAAAGTAATATAGGTATAATATAATGTAATGTAAAGTAATATAGGTATAATATAATGTAAGTTAAGTAATATAGGTATAATATAATGTATGTGAATGTAATATAGGTATAATATAATGTTATGTAATGTAAAGTAATATAGATATAATGTAAAGTAATATAGGTATAATATAATGTAATGTAAAGTAATATAGGTATAATATAATGTAATGTAAAGTAAAGTAATATAGTTATAATATATAATGTAATGTAAAGTAATATAGGTATAATATAATATAATATAATGTAATATAAAGTAATATAGGTATAATATAATGTAATGTAAAGTAATATAGGTATAATGTAATGTAAAGTAATATAGGTATAATATAATGTAATGTAAAGTAATATAGGTATAATATAATGTAATGTAAAGTAATATAGGTATAATATAATATAATGTAAAGTAATATAGATATAATATAATATAAAGTAATATAGGTATAATATAATGTAATGTAAAGTAATATAGGTATAATGTAATGTAATGTAAAGTAATATAGGTATAATGTAATGTAAAGTAATATAGGTATAATGTAATGTAAAGTAATATAATGTAAAGTAATATAGGTATAATATAATGTAATGTAAAGTAATATAGGTATAATATAATGTAATGTAAAGTAATATAGGTATAATATAATGTAATGTAATGTAAAGTAATATAGGTATAATATAATATAATATAATGTAATGTAAAGTAATATAGGTATAATATAATGTAATGTAAAGTAATATAGGTATAATATAATGTAATGTAAAGTAATATAGGTATAATGTAATGTAAAGTAATATAGGTATAATATAATGTAATGTGAAGTAATATAGGTATAATATAATGTTATGTAATGTAAAGTAATATAGGTTTAATATAATGTAATGTGTAATATAGGTATATAATATAAGTAATATAATATAAAGTAATATAGGTATAAATGTAATGTAAGTATATTAATAATGTAAAGTAATATAGTTATAATATATAATGTAATGTAATATAATATAATATAATGTAATATAAAGTAATATAGGTATAATATAATGTAATGTATTGTAAAGTAATATAGGTATAATATAATGTAATGTAATTTATAGGTATAATGTAATGTAAAGTAATATAGGTATAATGTAATGTAATGTAAAGTAATATAGGTATAATGTAATGTAAAGTAATATAGGTATAATGTAATGTAAAGTAATGTAATATAGGTATAATGTAATGTAAAGTAATATAGGTATAATGTAATGTAAAGTAATATAATGTAAAGTAATATAGGTATAATATAATGTAATGTAAAGTAATATAGGTATAATGTAATGTAATGTAATGTAAAGTAATATAGGTATAATGTAATGTAAAGTAATATAGGTATAATGTAATGTAAAGTAATATAGGTATAATGTAATGTAAAGTAAAGTAATATAGGTATAATGTAATGTAATGTAATGTAAAGTAATATAGGTATAATGTAATGTAATGTAATGTAAAGTAATATAGATATAATATAATATAAAGTAATATAGGTATAATATAATGTAAAGTAATGTAAAGTAATATAGGTATAATATAATGTAAAGTACTGTAAAGTAATATAGGTATACTATAATATAATGTAATGTAATATAAGAATAATATCCCCTCCAAGAATCGCCACCATAATGTGGTGGAGGGGTCTGTGTGTCCCTATGACCCTAGGAGCTGTGTTGTCAGGGGCAGTAGCTCCTGGTAGGGTCTCCCAAGGCAGCTTGGTTCCAGGGGAGGGTCCAGACTGAGAGTGGTTCACAACCCCTTCATGAATCAGCCAAGAAGAAGCTGCAGTACCTTGCCCGGAACAGAGAAACCAGGTCTCCCTCCTGGAGCCAGACCTGGGACAGAAGCTCATCGGCTCTGGCGCAAACAATAATATAATATATATAACATACAACATGAGCGTCCTGCTCAGAGGCTAAGGAGGAGTTGTTAGGAAAGCCCCAAAGAGCTGACTGCATCTACTTGTAGCCTCAGATCCTCCAGAAAGAGCAGCAGGGAGAGACACTGGGAGGGGATTGCTAAGAGGCCAACTCAACGCATAAGACAGTCTCATGTCGTCACTATAATGTGGTTATAGAAGAAAGACAAAGATAAGAATAAGACAGACCAAAGATAGACACTACATTAAGATAAACAACCTTTTCAAGAGCAAGATGACTGATTGCCACAACGCCATTTTGCCATGACGTCTCAAGAATTGAAACTACATGGAGGAATACAGTTTCAATTAAGATAAGTGCCCACAGTTAAAGTGTGAAAGAAGTTAAGAAGACATTGTGGACATTGATATGCTGCAGGATATGCCACAGGATATGCCAAAGAATAAATAAACTTATTCTACACAGCTTCCTGAAAAAAATGAGACAACAAGCATGTTTTGGTCTTAAGAAGACGACCTTCATTAAGAAAGCCAGATGCACTTTGTGTCATAGACCATTTTCCATGAACACTTTGAACACGCTGAATAAGAAGTAAAAAATACCCAACATGGCCAACAAAGATACACACACACGATACTAGGCCAAGAGCTCAGAGCTGCAGTAACAGGACTGACCACAAGGGGGCACCAACATATACTGAAAAAGGGTCTAGAAGAACAACTGAGCAGGCAAATAAATGCAAGATCCAAGCTATCACAGTTAACATCAAAAACTAATAAGATTAAAGGACATATGGAAGATAATGAGAGTCCAAACATTTAAAGAACATTTAAATAAATGCTCCAAACTACTGAAGGAGTTTATTCATTTAAATGATGATGTACCGTTACTGTTGGGTGATGATGAGAAAGACACAGATCAAGTGTTTTGGTTTAAGCCAAAAAAGGAACAATTCAGTAGTTTCATGGCTGAAGTTAAAACGTGGATAACTACTCCAAGGTAACAACAAATTGAAAATGTGGGTGCAGATGACAGTGTGACTGCTTCACCAGAAAACAAGAAATCTGGTGCCTGTGTTGCACAAAGCACAGATAGTGGCCATTCATCAGGGTCATCGAGGTCATCGAGATCATCCATATCATCTGCACGACACAAGGAAGTTGCAGAATGGGCTGCCTTACTTGCACGTGCAGCATCCCTGAAACAGAAACAGGCATTAGACATTGATGAATGCAAGTTAATGACAAAAAAGGCTATTCGTATATATACACAGCTATTGCTGCTTCTACAGCCAAAATAAAGGTGTTGGAAGATTATGAGAATGAGGGCTGGGACAATAATGTCACTGCTCATCTTGAGGCAAACTCAGCACACAATCAACAGCTAAGCAAGCAGGAACCAAAAGTAAGTCATGAACACCCTGAACAGTCAAAGACACATGATTAACATGTGAAACAAGACCATGAGATACATCAAACTGTTGTGAATAGTAACCCTGTAAACCTGTGTGAAGTAATGCTGAAACAAAATAACATCACTGAGATCTTCAAACATCAGAAACTGTCACATTTGCCTCAAAGAGGTGTTCCTGTTTTCAGTGGTGATCCACTTGAGTTTAATCCATTAAGGGCATTTGACCATACTATCCATGACCAAACTGATAGTGATGGGTTAGATTACCTTGAGCAGTTTACCAGAGGTGAGCCCAGAGACTTGGTCAGAAGTTGCCAGAGTCCTCATCAAGGCTACAGGGAGGCAAGAGAGTTGCTGATTTATCACTATGGTAACAAGCCTACATGAACAGAGCATTCAACTGGCCACAAATTAAAGCAGATGATGCTAAGACTCTTAATGGTTACTCTCTGTTTCTCACTGGCTAAAAACTAAACCAGCAAGCTAAAATAGCTCCAGATCCTGTGTTTGGTGAAATAAAGGATGCTGAAGGAAAGAGAAAACCTCATGCAAATGTCAGAATGACTAGAGCACCAGGGCCAAAGGGGAGCACCAGCTCCACTATAGTATAGATCTTCCTCTGAGAAACACAGCGGTTAAAATGCCTAACAACCGTAGTGTAGTTGCGCAGAGAGCAGAAAACCTAAAAAGGGTAACGTGTCAAAAACAAAGAGTTTCACAAAGAATGTAAAAGCTTCATGTCTGACCCGTTGAGTAAGGGCTACACAGTTCAAGTACAAAATGAAAACACTTTGTCTAAAGACAACAGAGTTTGGTACATACCTCATCACGGGGTGAACCACCCCCAGAAAGGAAAACTATGTGGGGTTTTTGACTGCGCATCATCATATCATGGCAAGTCACTGAATGGAGAACTTTTGCAAGATCTGACACGATTCAGACATCAGACACCACATTGCTTTAATGTCAGACATAGTAAGAGTACCACCACCGAACAGTGATCTTCTGAAGTTCCTCTGGTGGTCAGATGGAAACTTGAATGAACCTCTGCAAAAATACAAGGTGAAAACTCTAAACTCCAACATGTCTGCCCTGTATTGAACTGTACCACCCGACGCAGTGCACCCTGCATTTTGTGACCACTACTTACATTCAAACACAGTTTTAAACCATGCACCTTAGACCTTGGTCCAACAGTGCCACCGTGTTAAAGTACACTGCCAGCGGAAATGTCAGGTTCAAAACATTTGTAGCAAACAGAGTGTCGCTCATCAGAGACAAGACTAAGCCAAGTCAGTGGAAGTATGTTAACTCTGAGTTAAATCCCGCTGACCCCACGCCAAGAGGCATGAATACAGATGCGTTCACAAAGTGACAAAACTTTGTGACAAGGGACAAGAAACATTGGCCAATTTCACCAGATATAAGAGAAGTACAGAAAGATGATGTTGAAGTTAAAGGAGCAGTGAGTGTAAATGCTACAAACATGCATGAGAATCAACTTAACATTATTCATTATCATTATTCAAAGTGGCACTGTTTAAAGAAGGCAGTTTCCTGGATGATAGAATGCAAACAAGGGTTGGAGGAAGGCTGCATCAGTCTGCATTGCCAGCAGATGTTAAGAATCCTGTGATACTTCCTAAAAGTTGATCCTCAAACACATCAAGAAACAGGACATGGTGGAAGGAATTACACACTATCCAGACTAAGAGAAAGATTCTGGATTTCACAAGCAGATTCCACCATTAGGAAGATATAGTCGTTTAATGAAAAGTTCGAGGCGGAATGGAATTTGAGGACCTGCACCAATGTGTGGAATAGACTAGTTTGGGCCTTATTAAAATTTTTTTTTTGCATTACATAGATTGTCTTTGTTAAAACTAATGTTTTGGAAAGGAGGAAAAAAGGAAAAATTTTTTTTTTTGGGGGGGAATGATAAGATGTGTAATATATATGTGCATTACATATGGGTTAATGTTACATTAATGGGAATAACTCTTGAGTTCAACTAAATGTGGAGTTGAAATGTACTGTTTAAGAGATGAATTTAAATTGAAGTTTACTGTTTAGATGAATCACTCATAAGTCCTGAGTTTGGGATTAAAATGCGCTTTAATGATAAGATGTAATTATGTTTCAGAAATCAGCAGAAACAACTTTTTGAGAGTAGTATATATATATATATATATAAATTAATATAAAATGGTGGTATAACACCATCACATGGTAACTGTAAGGGATCTTAGAGCAGCATTGTGCCCTGCTGGTGCAGCGTGCATGCCAAGAAAACCTGGAGTCATAGCAGTACATCCAAAGTTTCCATGGTGAAGAAGAAATGCTCCCTCCTGACCAGATCAGACCACTGAGGATGGTCAACAAAGTATGTAAACCCTTCAAACACATTATACGGTTTCTTGATATTTGATAATTTTATATGTATAAGTTGTTTTTAATGTCAGGACTCTGCTCCTGGGGGCACCTGAGAGTGGATGTCAACCAGCACCACAGTACTCCACTGAAGATGCTTCTGCCCCAAACCTGCCTCCAGACAACAGCCCCAAACCAAGAGGATGAAGAGCCCCCTAAACTCACTCGTGAAGATGAAGCTGTCACTATGAGCTTCCTCTGTGGTGCCAGGTCTGTGAGGCTCCACACACACCCCTCAGCATCTGCTCGCCTCCACATGCCAAAAATCAAGATGCTCGAGAGGCACTGACAGTTCAGACTGAATGAGAAACTAAAATACAATTGTTACCATGTGCTTTGGGGCTGTGCAGCACCTTCATATGTTCAGTATTTGTCCTTTTAAAACTTTGATATTGAATTCAGTGCACTGTTCTGAGAGATGCTTTACCCTCCGTGATGTTGAGTTAACATGAAGTCCATTGTAGGTTTCACAATATTTGGTTTAAAATGCAGTTCAAAGTGAAGGCACATTGCCCCATTTGAACACAGGTTAACATGTTGTAATATCACTCTACATGAACAGTATGTGCACACATATTGAGCAGTAGAGGAAAATATTTAATTTTGGGCCAGTTTTGACACCACTGAAAATGTTTGAATCTTTAGTCAGCAACTGCACAGTTTAGTCATTGTAAAATAAAGTCAAGTTTTTGATAGTGATAGAAGTATTAAAATGAACTCAAGGCAATGAGCCTTAATTTTGTCATAGTTGGTTGACTTTCATTAGGCGTTGCAAATCTATTGACTACAAAACTTTGTTCACGTTCTAAATATCCAATACAAGTCTATAAAAAGTTCAGGTTGAGCAATACTTGTGACTCTTAAACTGAAGTTATTATATTTGACCCCTTTTGCTTTAAGCCACAAAATTTAAGTACTCCCAAAATACAAAATCTAGTTTTTGTGACAGTCATGTATATAAGCTACCCTTACTAAAACTACTACAAAGTGACATCTTGTCTGCAATTGTGCATTTTGAAAAAGTTGAATTTAAATGTAACAAGTTACATGTGTAAAAATTTAAGTTGCCAATAGTTAAGTTAAAATACCAGACAAAACATATTGGGGGGGAAAACAGAATTTTACACAAACACTCAAAATGTAGATATCTGGCTTGATTTGTGACAAGTTACTACTGCACACAAGGCTATAAAAGCCATCAGTTCAAAGTGGGACCCTCAGCATTTGTAGTTTTAATCTCAATGTAAAGTGAAATTAAAAGCTTTTTGCAGATTACAAAACTAAACCTTTTTAACCACTTCAGGTTACCTAAACATAATGTTCATAACTTTCATAAGTCTTGTGCTTCAGTTTTCTAAGTTAGCTCTTTAGAAGCTTTCATTCCAGATAGATGTTCAGAGCTTTTGCATTTGTGAAAGACTGCCAACACAGGGCATTTTATGACAACACATCTTTACACACACACACTGTTTGGCACTGACACACATGTGAAGTCAAGACAGATTTAAATTAATAAATTTATTTCAAAACACTAATTCTTCATCCAATGACACCTGGAGCACCTATTGGAACAAGACACATTAGAAACCAGGCTTTAGCACATAGACCGCAAGAAATACTCAAATACTCACCTGCTAGTTTCCCAGATGGCGGGAGCCAACGTGCTGCCAATTGTTCTCCCAATGAACACTCTGCACCTGTGGTTTGTAAGACATGCTCTGCCGTGAAGGAGCTGTGTACGTCTGCTGTGGCTTCCTGACGCTCTCTTCCTTCTGGTTCACAGGGTCCTTCAGCCGTCTGATAGCGAAGCCACCAAAGCGCTCTGGGATGTTGTAGGTTCTGGTTGGGGCAAAGCGCTGAGCAGAGGTTCCCGCTCTGCCGCTTCCAGAGGCAGGGAGGTTACGAGCTCCCTGGGCTTGGTTTCTATTGCTCCAGGATGCTTGGAGAGAGCTCTTACTGCTGGGGATCTGCTCAGTCGAGGTGTAGCTGGGTTTGTAGCTCAACCTCGCATTTGTGGGCATCGCTAGACTGCGTGGGTGGAAGCCAACAGTTGGAAGAGATTGGCTATAACTTAGATGGTTTGTGGCCAAGCTGGATGTGGAAGAAGCCTTGTAGTGTTTGTTGGCATTTCCTTCATTCACAGGAAACAGTTTGCTTTGGTATCGTTTCCCACTGTCAGTCTGGCTCGGGTTATTTTGACGAGTTGAGGAACCAGAAGGTTTCGACGCTTTGGAGCTATGACGAGACACTTTTTTAGCGCGGGCACTGGCTGAGGTTTGCATCTGTGCAGAGTTTTTCTGTGGCGCAGGAGCAGCTGCGCTGAACAGGCTGGAAGACTTCATAGAAGAATAGCCTCTTTGCCCATTGTAGGCTGGTGTTTCTATAGCAGCACCGGGAGCCTTCTGTACTGCTGACTGGTGGGTGCTTTTGCTAGAAGGACTCCGAACAGATGCAGAACTGCTGAACATATAGCTGCTAGCATGCGGTGTACCCTGCTGAACTGGCCAGGTTCTCTTCTTGCTGACATTATGGTCATTCTGCTTCTTACTGTACTTACTCACAGAACTTCCACTAGCAATAGATGTAGAAAGGCCAGATAACTGCTTTTTGGGCACCTTTTGTGCATTAGCTTTATTCAATTTAGTCATCTGCCAGTTAGGTTTCGACAGTGAGCTGCTCTGCACAAACCTGACTGAAGGGTAGCCACTTTGAGCTGGCTGTGAGACAGATTGTTTGTAGTCACGATTGGAAAGTCCCTGGCTATACCCACTGCTAACTGCAGCATGTGTGTTGAAGCCACTGCTCTGGGATGAGGCCTGTCTGAGTTGATTCTGGGGATAGCTGCCACCAAGTTGTCTTAGTCCACCATCCTGTTGTGACAAGCCAACATATATGTTGCCGTTTTGTCTGCGGGAGCTCTGAGCTGCAAGAGATACAAGAGTAAATCCACAGCTTAAAATTCATAGAGTGACAGTGACACATTTGCCTTCAGCTCACCTTGTGTAGCCCATAAACAGCGTACATGGTCTGCTTGAACTAAGCACATCAGCAAGATTCTGCAAAGAAGACATCAAGGTCAGAAGAAATTGGACAGCAACTCAACACATACTTAGAATAGCAGCAAAAAAAACTCACCCCAAATGAACTCCACAAGCCATTTCTGTGTTCCAAAGCGTGCAACAGTAGCCTGACTACCCTGAAGCTTCTTGCTCTGTGTGCATGTGTGTGTGTGCAGCAGAGAGGCAGCATTTACTGCAGCCTGCATCCAATCACAGCTTAATGAGCTGATTGTCTACAGGTGCCTGCTGTTGAGATTTCAGTTCAAGTTGATTTTCATCTCTCTCTCTGCCACCTTTCTCTTCCCTGTGTTCTCAAATCCTGTGCAAAGAACTGTAGGGTCAAAGCTTTATTTTGCTAGAAAGAGCTTTTCACGCAGTTAACAGCTCTTGCCTGCTTTGTTTTGCTGAGATTTCTCCCCTCCGCCCTTGAGGAAGATCATGTTAGTCCTGATGGCCTTGTTAACATTATTAATGATGCCTCCTGCACCCCCTGACGCTGAATAGACCCAGGCGGCACGCTGCAGTAATGATGCACTCGACCCTAACCGTGACAAACAACACATCAAGATCAGCGAGCGTCCACCTTCTGTTTGCAGAATATAAATCACACAACACCACAGTCGCTACATCAGTAAATTCCTACTTCATTTGAATAGTTTTTTCCGTGAGCAATGATAAGCAAAATGCACAATGCCACGCTTGCATGTGAGTGTTATGTCATCAGCTTCCTGTGTCTACTTGACTGAACTGTGACCATGTGGGACGCTCCACATGAAAATGACCCCTTACACTGTGAGTGTAGGTGACACACACTCTAAAAGGACACACTCCCTGGTAGTCTGGCAGGTGTGAATCTTCATCCCAGACTGTGCTTGGTCAGAAGTGTTCATTAATGACACTCCCCTGCTGCCAGAAGAAACAGGAAGCGAGCGCACGACAAGTGGACGACAAATGAATCTGTCACTCCGTCCCACTTTCCCGAGTACTGTATATGCCTTCATCGGGTGCACTTCTTAAAGCCAGATTTATTAAAATGTGCAATCTTATTTTTCATCTTTTAGACACTTGAGTGTTTGAGCCAGTGGGTGAGCCGGAGCGGCGATGGCAAATTTCCTCCTTTCTGCCGCCGTAGGAAGGAGTGACACCTCGCATGCGATGACCAGATGAGTGTGGTGGCTTAGATCAAAGACACAATTTCCTGTCAAAGGAAATAGCTCAGAGGAATTTTTTTCAGGGACAGTTCCCTCCTTTCTAAATTCTTTCCATTACACTTATCAACATTCATATGAGCGAGAAGTAAAAGCATGTGAAAGTCCTCCACTGGAATCGGGCAAAAACACTCCTGATGACACAGGCATCATTGGAAGCAGGCTTTAAAAAGGCTTACACAAAACTTGGACTGGTGACATGATAAATCAACTAGTAAATAAGATCTATTCATCAAAGGAGGCGACTCCTTTCTTCTTGTGGATAGTCTCTCTCATTTGGATTCAAAATCTGCCTGCATCATGTCTCACAAGCGCACATTTTCAACCTTAATATTGATTTCCACAGAACAGAGTGGGGCTCTAATAAAGCAAATGCATGGTTTCGATCTGCACAGACCCCTGACCTGTGGACAAGTGGAGGACATGCTCATTTGAGCCTGACTCTCTGTAAAGGTTACGCTGTGTCAGGTTCCACTGTGCTCGTGAGCTTTCTGCGCATTAAGGTATATTTGTATCTGTATGTGCAGGACCACGGAGGAGACAAACACAGCATCGTCATCTCATTTATGTGCAGAGCTATGCAGGATGGGAGGACATTTGTGACAGGGGTCAGTAGCACAGTCACCTAAGCCACCTGAATCTGCAAACACATCTTTTTCTCTCTATTCTGTTTACACCAAGCCTATAAGTCTTTACTATGCTATCGTTTGAAAGACTATACAGCTACAAATATTCCAAACTCAAGGTTGCTGAGTAATTTCCTAAAACATTAAAATACTACTCATATTTTCAGCAAGATCAATACACATTTGGTGCTAGTATTTATGGCAGCAGTGGGGTTAACATGGGTTTCATTAATACTTTAACTGAAAACAGTTTACATTTACGAAACACATCTGAAATAACATTGCAGGTTTCACAGACCCACATTACCTGATACCTGATATCTGATGATACGTCAGTGAGAGATGTTTTTTTCATCATTCAAACTGTGCTGGTGGAACTGTATAACCCTGTTAGGAGTGTCCTCATCCAAAGTGAGCGGCATCATCTCTTCAAAGTCCTTAATGCAGCAAGATGATGTAAAGTCACAGAGAGACAGTCAGCAGATGGTGTCTCATCTCAGGAAGAATCTACCCTTTGGCCTCCAAACCGTTCTTCTCCTTCTGACCAATCAGGCTCCTCAGGTCCCTGTTGAGTGCGCTGGGCCCCCTCCCGCTCCGGCATCTGGTCCAGAATTTGAAATAATGAAGGTAATAATAATGAGCTTAAGTCTCCTCCCTCCAGGAAGGCGAGAGGTCAAACTACCTACGGAGAGTTCACACCCAACACATTCCACGCGCAGCTCGAGGATTCATCATCAGAGAGGCTGCACTCTTTCCACTTCAGATTACAGCTGAAGATAAAGTTACAGGATCATTCCAGTGCAACACTGGGCCTATTGCTGGAGCTTTGGTCATCGTTACTACTGGTCATGATAACAGTTCTCACCAAAGTAAATGCTGAGATGTAAACAGGTTCATCACTACAACAAAGCCAACAGTTTAGCAATTTAGCAGATTATATAAACCACTTTATCTGGAGGTAAAACTAAAAGTGAGTACATTAATGTACATAACAAATTGTCATTGTACAGGAAAACCTTAGTGTATAAAACAACAAAGCCATCTCACCTAGTGGTTTATTTAAAAACTGATTAACTGACTCATTTTTTAACACTTTTGACTTCTTTCTAGTGATGCTGCTGTTTCAAAATCTCAACAGTTAACTTGGTGTGTACAGTGTTATTGCTGATAGGAGTGATGACAGATATAAGTTGTCATAAAACCAGAAGCTCCGGTGTGTAACATTTATTAGGGTCTATTGGCAGAAATTGAATATAATATTCAAAGGTATGTTTTCATTAGGGTATAATCACCTGAATATAGGAATCATTGTGTTGTTGTTACCTTAGAATGAGTCTTTATCTACAGAGGCAGCAGGTCCTCTTCTACAGAGTCCACCATGTTTCTACAGTAGCCCAGAATGGACAAACCAAACACTGGTTCTACATAGGGCCGTGTTTCGCAAGTTTCTTAGAAGGCATGGCTAGCATTTTGAACTTTTTCGCTGAGAACAGCTGCATGCTGTGGCTGGAAACAAGGTCTATCAGAGCAGTGAGGACATAAACAGTCAGAAAACCCAAACAATCTTAAAGACATTAAAATGCTCTGTAACAGCAGAGTCGGTTGAGTGGGAGTTCTCTGTGGGTTTATCACTACTAAGTGCAATTACAGGCATTCGATCTATTGTTCATATAAGAATATTTATTGCTGCAGCTCATAAAATGTCTACTATACAGTAACTGAACTAAAAAGTGGAAGAAAACCATAGCCAGCAATAAATAAAGTCACTGACTATGAACCATTGTGAGTCTGCTGATGGGAGCTTTGATCCCAGGTGACTTCAAATGACTCCTGTTTCCAGCCAGACTATTGTATTTGCCCGGCCCTCTGCTCAATTCCAGCCCAACTCATCGATGCATGAAGCAGATGATGAAGTAGTGCAGGAGTTCTGAGTATCTCGTCCTTTCTTTAAAACGGGTCAAGGCCATTTATAATGAAGCAGCGACACAGGCCTTATTCCTTTTCGCTGAGAGGACCAGAGGAGAGACTCTTTAATGAATTATAGTGGAATCATTCATCTTCATACTGTGTTGTTCTATTCGCTGTGTTACCTTTTCTTTACATTTCAGCACATGATGTAAGGCTCAGCTTTAGGGGCTCATTTAGAATTTGAGAGAATAAGGCAGGATGGGACACAGGGAAATATGTCTCTCTAATTCAAAAACTCCCTAACCTCATCCTCCTATAAACAACCACAGAAACAACAAAACAAAACTTCTGACAAGTCACATGGATCAAGAGATTGATTCGTGGCCAGCTGGAGGACAGCGGAGCCAGCAACGAGGCTTCGGGACACTCTCAGCTCGGAGGCCCAGAGGAGGGGAAGTCGTGGGGGTGGTGGTGGTGGGACTATAAACCCTGGCAGAGCCGTGCTGTTGCTCCGTTTACAGTTGTAGTCAATTCGGAGATCAATGGAGACACGGCAATGAAGACTTCAGAGGGGAGCTGCATTGTTGCGGTGGAGTGTTTTACATGAGCCTTTCTTTCATACGAGACAGGACTTTGTTGAGAGCATTTGTTTCTCATTTTCCACGAGTCTGGGGATCCATTGCGGTTTTGCACCAAGAGGTTTTTGTTTAAATTTCAAGAGTATAAAGAATCCCATTATGACATGTGAACACATACATGTACAAACTCTGTGGTGGAACTGATAGATTACACAATTAAACCCAAATCAAATCCTTTGTACTGTGAGTTAAAGTGAATTCTCCTCCCTTTCTGTCTGAGGACATTTAAACTGTAATGATAGTGCAGCTATTGTGCTTTTTTCTCCATTTTTCAAAACAGGATAAAACAATTTTTGGACATTTTTGGAAACATCTCCCTTGGTGGGAATTTCCCAGTGCCAGCAGTTGACTGACGATTAAGGAGTGGCGTTGCTTGCTATGCTGTGACAGTCTCTTCAATCCACGTACAGGTAATGGGACTTTGAAATTGTGCGCAGTGCACAAAGTCCTATTTTACATGCAGGTGATTCGCCAATCCCTGCCATTCAATTCTTAGGATTTAAGACAAACAGGAAAGAAGAAGTCAGGTGAATGTTGTTGACAGTCGCAGTTTGGTCAAGTTTAGGTGCAAAATCTACTTGGTTAGTTTTAGTAAAAGATCCTGATGTAAACACACAAACCACACTGTCCTAGGTGAAAGCCCTGGACTTTGTCAGCCTTTATACTACGTCACCTCATAGAAGTTAGTGGGAAGGATTAGCATATCACCTGCATGCAAACTTGGACTTTGGCGTATGCGCTGCAAGCAATCTGAGTCTAAAGTCGTCATAGTTATACACCATTGGGTAAGGCTGGGCTGGCTGTCAACTTCTTCTTCGCTGGGGAGTGCAGCTGCTAAAAGCCAATGGTTCATTAAAGGTCCGGTGTGTAACATTTAAGAGGATCTATTAGCAGAAAAGGAATATATGTTTTCATTAGTGTATAACCCCTAAAAATAAGAACTTTAAATGTCTTCCTTTTCTAACCATACTGATTTCTTAGGGAAAATAATCACTTTAGTTTCAGATTGACTTAGATAGATATTGATAGAAAGAGAAATAAAAGACACTATCTCAATACAGCTTCAACAAATACTATGATTGTGTGTGTACGTAGGGTGCGCTTAAGCTTGTCGGCTCTAGCCTTTATGAAAGTGATAAATGGGGGGCCAGTTGGCTTTAATGGTTAGTTGGGCCAGCTGTAGTCTTACCAACTCCTCTTCGCTTGCATCCAACAAGCGAGCAGGGGCAAACACAATTAGTCACATTGATCAAGTGAGCAGCAGAACAATGGG